AGCAAGTCAAAGTATAGATAGTCCTCGACTTACGACAATTGAGCCCAACATTTCTGTTGCTAAGCGAGATAGTTAAGTGAATTTTGGCCCACTTTACAACTTTTCTTGCCATAGCTGTTAAGTGAATCGCTGCAGTTGTGAAGTTAGAAACACTGTTGTTAAGTGAATCTGGCTTCCGCATTGACTTTGCTCGTCAGAAAGTCGCAAAAGGTGATCACATGACCCGGGGACACTACAAACATCATAAGTATGAGTCAGTTGCCAAACAGCTGCATTTTGGTCACGTGACCATAGGGATGCTGCAACAGTCTTCAGTGTGAAAAACAGCCATAAGTCACTTTTTTCAGTGCCATTGTAACGTCTAGCGGTCACTAAACAAACTGTTTTAAGTCAAGGATTACTTATGTTGCTCACGGAATTGTTTTGTGTGTCAGTATTTTGCTAATTGTGTATCAGGGCTAATTTGAATGCAAGACACAAACTCCGTATCGGTAATTCTACCAATTTGGATACTGAAATGATTCTTGAACTTATAATTCATGATGGAGTAACAGGCCATACAACTTTTGAAATAATGTATATATAGTTAAAACATGAACTCACAGGGTCAATATAACCATAGAAATGTGTTTAATAAATTAACTAATTCATTCATTTACCCAGTAAATTGAAACAGCTGAGGACTAATTAAGAGAAACATTAAGAAACGTTCTAGAATGCTGTGAGGTTGTCTCACAATTACCGTAAGTGGTTTTCTTCTATGTAAACAAAAGCTTATCAGTTGATGAGAAACAGTACAACTGTAATGAACGTTTCCACTATTTAATCTTTCATTAATTACATTTTGGTGAGCACGAGCACCTATGCCCAAATTTGCTATAGCAAATTTCACAAAAACTTCATACTGTCATCTATGGAATACTATCAGCAAATAAATATTAGAACCGATTATTTGAGGAACAAAATGCAAGCATCACACATACCTATCAACATATATGCAAGTAAGGAAAGTTGGATTTTATTTCCATATTGTTAATCTTCCAGTTGAAACCAACATGGTACTTCCGATGGTCTTGGAATTCAGAAAAAAAATGGCTGCAATAGCTATAGCACTGGTAAAGGTATTATATAACATTTTGTACAAAAACAAAGCTGTGACTAGCTTTCTACCTCTGTATTCAGCTACAACTTGCTCTCTGCCCTTCGCAATGTTAATGTACCAACCACCTTAAAATCCATAAACATTGCTTATCTGAGTTGCTTTGATAAGTTTACTTTGTCATGTTTTGTATGATACAATTTAACCAGCTCAGGAACAAACTTCCTGCAAAGAAAATATAGTTTTTTATTGAGGTGCAAAAGTGATTGTGGGAAAAACCAATAAAGGAACATTAAATCAATCGTGTATTTTATATTTCTGTGATTCTCCCATTTACGTGCTTGGGGTGCAGAAACCTTCTTCCCCAGGCAATGTATGAATGTTAGGAAAATCCCCCTTCCTAGCCTTTTCTCTTGTGCTTCCCCCCCCCACCTGCTGCTGCTCTTTTGTTCTCTCTTACAAGAACAAGGTAAGAACCTCTAACATTGAACAGGACAGAGGAAAACAGAAGGGAACCTTCAGAGATCTTTGCACCTTTGGTGCAATAACATTTTTTTTTTGCTATTATGTAAAGTATAGCACCTTTTTAAAGTTTATTAAAATATACAGTATTGTCATAGACCAGTGGTGGCGAACCTATGGCACGGGTGCCAGAGGCGGCACTCGGAGCCCTCTCTGTGGGCACACGTGCCGTTGCCCCAGCCTTGCCTCCCCCCGCGATCCCCTCCTCTCCAGCAGCCCCCCTGAAGGAGACTCGCCCTCGAGCGTGGCCCACATGGAGCAGCGCAGCCAAGGACATGGCAGCCAGGCAGCATAGACAAGACTCTGCCCTCATGCCTCATCATGCAGTTGATGCTGCAGGGCGCGGGCAGAGGGTGTGGCCGCCATAGTGCTGCTGGGCTGCCTGGGCCCTGGAGGCAGTGAGTGGTCCCGTGGGCAGGCGGGGGATGGGAGGTGGTGCGGGGGCAGGGCCAGTTTTTGGGCACTCGGTCTCTAAAAGGTTCGCCATCACTGGCATAGACCGCCCCCCAAAAAGCAGAGTAAAACTTGGCCCTAGACACACTAACGCCTGACAGCTTATGTCCCACTAATACTCTGCAAAATGTCTAAGAGGAATTTCCAAGTCATGGTTATGAAATACTGCGCTTAACAACTGCAGCCAGATCTGTCATAAGTAAGGCATGGTTAGGGGCAATTCACTTTATGACCACGTTGCTTAGCAACCGAGTTGCCAATCCCAATTGCAGTTAGTAAGTGAGGATTACCTGTATTTGGACTTAACCGTAAGGTACCATTCTTGATACCAAAAGGTGGGCCCAACAGTCCTACCTAACTCAAGGGCTCATTGGGATATTTAGGAAATTGGTGTATTACTGTATTTGCGCTTTGTGTACATTGTATTTCTTTATAACAAGACTTTAGATTATCTAACCATGCTATTTTATTATTAAAAGTCTTGATTTTTTCTCTGTTGAAATTAATATATTTAACTAAATGGGCTCTCTCTCATAAAACCTAAGCCTATTTAAATAATGAAACTGTCAGCCTCTCAAGGTATATCAGGTGAGTGAATTCTATTTTATTGTACACTTAAATTAACATAAGCTTGCAAATCTGAACATCCATCTCGTCCTGTCTTCCTTTACAGTCCAAGAAACTAGGAAGAGTTTCTTCTGAGCCTCTTGCCCTGCCCATATTACTGCTGCTGTCTCGATTGTCTTTTACCTGACCATTCCCTGACTGCATCTCTTAATTGTCTCCCAAGGTCATTACCATAAACCATTTCAGAGACCTAGCAGGCTAGATTTAAACAAGCTAAGATGTTTCTAAGGTAGACACACAAACTTTTATCAATCTAAAGTGAATATAAAATGTTCTGTCACTTACTAATTAAGCTTGTTTTTTTCAAATATATTTGGCCTTGCCTAATTTTTTAGACTCTTAAAAATATCTATCGCTGGGTTTTCATTTCACCATTCTATTAAAAGAAGTAGCATTGTTACAATAAATTTGGGGTGAGCAAAGTGGCGCACGAGGTTAGGATGCTGGGCTGACAACAGGCTGGCGTTTGAGACCCTGCTGCTACCATGGGCTGGGGTGAGCTCCCATCACATGCTACAACTTCTGCTGACCCAGCAGTTTGAAAGCGGGTAACCGCAAGTGGATAAATGGGTACCAGTTTGGTGGGTAACTTAACGGGCGTATGAAAGGAGCCAACAATTGGGCATCCTCCATGCAACAATGATGTCATCATCCAATCTTTTCAATCTGGAAGCACATTGGCGCTCCCGACAGGACTGCAGTAGTAGTAGTAGTAGTAGTAGTAGTAGTAGTAGTAGTAGTAGTAGTAGTAATAAATCTGGGAATGATAAAATATATATTGTTGGTACGGTCCTAAAAAAAATTCACACAAGATTAGCTTTATCATCATATACTGAAAATATCCACAGAATTTATTTTAAAAAACTTAAATAAGGGCCGAGCTTTTGTTTTTGCATGCTTAACAAATGCAACTAGAAACAGGTTTTTAAAAATACACACATTTAATGTTGAATTTGAATTCTAGAAAAACAGTTCCAGCAATACAAACATGTCAACCACCATGACAAAATGAAAACACACATTCACAATTAAACTGATAGTTTATCACATTCTCTCCCCCCTACCAGATTCCAATAGTGATCTTGCATGGAAGCCCTACTGCAAATACTGCTGGTGTTCAATGTGAATTACAAAAATTGCAGAAAACAAAATTTAAAAACTGTCTGTGAATTACAAGAAAACTACATTTTGCATTATTTCAAGAGACCAACATTTAAAAAGTAACCTGTTCTTATGAAAATATTGTAGCTATAGTCAAGGCAACTTAATAGCTGAGATTGAGTAAATGGAAGAGACCCACATTTTTAGTGAAGGCAAGCGGAAGTAAATTTTAATTTTCACTTTTGTTCATCTAAATTGTCTGAAAAACCACAAGCACCGGGCAACACATTTTATCTATTCTTCCTTTGGCTATATAAAAGGTGATAAATATTTTTCCTTGATAATTGTAACAGTATTTTTGTTTTCCAAATCATATAAATAAGAGCAGAGCAGTATTTCATTAGAAACTTCCCCTCCCAATTGTTATTTAACTTTTGTGTGACAATTTATCTTGTTGGCAATCTCATGTCTAAATAGACGTTCTCTAATTAAATGAAGAAGCTTCAAAATAAAATATTTACCCTTTGGTTAAAAAAAAATATCAAAAACTCAGGTAAAAGAAATCCATTTAGATAAAGGTAAAGGAGTCCCTGTGGATTTTACTCCACCAGTCGTTGCCGACTTTATACACCTAAATCCTCCTAACCTCAGTAAAAAAAAAAACACCAAAAACTTATTTTACAAGTAAAATAAAATTACCCATTTAAATTTGATTCGTTTGTAATAACAGAAGAGGTAATTTTGTAATAAAATCAGTATTGTTACTTCAAATGGCAACATACTTAACCCTGTGTAATTCTGTTCCAACTACACTTTATCATTCACACCCGAGAGGAATCTTAATCTGAGTCCTGCTGACTTTTGTTTTTTTTAGTAACTTGAAAGGAAATGATTTTACAATCAACATGTCACAAATTATTAGAATTCTTCTTTTACACAGAGCCCATGCTCAAATTTTAAATGTCTGTGCCTCAACCAGCTAGCGTTCCCCAAGATTGAGAACTGCCATCTTAAAAACCCAGCCTGGCGTGGCTGTACTGTTTCCAGGTCTCTTTAGCACAGTGTTTCTCAACCTTGACAATTTTAAGGCATGTGGACTTCAACTCCCAGAATTCCACAGCCAGCAATGCTGGCTGTGGAATTCTGGGAGTTGAAGTCCACATGCCTTAAAATTGTTAAGGTTGAGAAACACTGCTTTAGCAAGAAAAACTAGAGCATGTACTTTTAATCTCTCCCCCTTCACTCAGAACCATTTTAAGTAGGGGCAACTGTAATAAGCCTTGGTTTTAGGTCTGATGCAACCGATATAAAGTTTTCCAAAAGGAGTGGGTATTTGCACAGGGGAAGGATAATGTGAACCTGAGAGGCACTCCAAACCACTGGGCTCCCATGTGTAGAACTGCAGCCTGAATTGTTTTCTGAAAGCATTATGACATTAATGACTGCACATACTGCCACAACACCCAGCACTCATTTGACACATATTCTATCGTATGTGGCAAACAACAGCACCCAATGTAGCCTGAGAAGAAATGCTGCTGTGTAAATACTGCAACTATTCCTGATTAAAAGACATTATGGGATATATAGTCAAAAGCTGCCCAATCCCATAATTTATATTGCATAGGTCACAATCACACATATATACACATGCACACGTATGTGTATACATTACACATGCAAAGAATATATTAAAAAGACAACAAAGTCTAGTCACAGAGCAATTTACAAGCTCAATATATATTTTATACACTTTGCTTGGAAGATTTTAATATTTTACAGTCCTCAGCAGGAAGTATATACACTGCACCGTATGAAAAATCTAGGGTTGCCAAAGTAGAAATAAGTCTTTTGCAAACTTCTGGATACGAAAAAGATCCAAGTATCTTATTCAAAATTCGTCCTACTTACAGAAAATAGACCCTACTCACAAAAGACATACCCATGGAATGTACACTAGAGACAAGGCTTCTTCTTTTTTTTTTTTTGACTTGTGAATATTTTAAAGCAAATGAAATCCCAGATTCCCAACCCAACACAGTCTAGATCCTCATTTTAAACACATTAAGAATCTAGCCTTATTTTTTTTTTAGTCTACAGGCCTCTTACGTGATTAAAAAATTTGTTCCGTTCAAGAAGTGTTAAGGCTAACTTGGTTTTTTCATCTTTACAAATATCCTTTTAGGTTCCCTTCTGCACTCCAATGTATAAACTCTGCCTATAAATAGATAAAGGGCCGTGCAGGAAATAATATTCAGCGCTACAGTCAGGAAGCAGTTGCGCCTTCCCATTCCACAAGATACTGAACTTTTCCATCAAGTGTAACCCGGCGGGCCAAAACACGGTATTTTTCACCACAAGCTATCCTACCTGCAGCACCAAAGTAACTGGTAATAGAGTTCTTGAGATGATTAAGCTGCAATTCCTGATCTGCCAAATTATTCAGAATCTCTGTATTAAGTTCATCATATTGATAGTCATCTTTGCCTTCATCTTCTTTTACAATTTCTGGGTTCTGAATCTGGAGTGCTTTTCGTGGAAGACGTCCTCTTCTTCTTAAGTGTGGTATCGTGGAGGGCCAAGTTCTTCCTGTTCGCGTCCTTTTTCTAGAATCAGATAAACTGCAGAGCACATAAAATATTAGTTTAAACATTCAGAATATGTAAATACCACAACGAAATGTACTGTACTCTTAACGGCTACTCTTAATGCTCAATTAATGCTGAATCAAATGGAGACAGAACTTAAACTAGTAGTATGGTTTTGGTGAAATTTCATGTGGACATTTTATGTGTATTTTATCTTTTACAACACTATATGTACCCACGAGTAATTTTTTGGGAGCATTTGTTTTACAATTGCACTACAGCTGATAGGAGCTAACTTGATTCTTGCTTTCTGTTAAGATAATTCTGCTGCACAGCAAACAATGTTACTTAAGACATAACACATTCAGCCACATTACCAGAAGCCAGAGTGTACCAATGCATTATTTACTAATTTAACTTGTCCATTTTTAAACTGATTTTAGCTCCTACATTTGTCAAGCATTTCTAAAATAAGGAAAAACAGATTCCATGTAAGCTTGCCAAGAACATAGATCTTCTTCCAGTGCATCTCATAAATGCAACTGCTTGTAAAATCAGCAGAAAATGATATAATTTGCTGCTACTACACCAATTCCATGGAAAGAAATAGAAAGGAGGGGAATCTAAATCTTTAACAAATTAGAGGCTCTAACTAACTAACTAACTAACTAACTAACTAAATCTATTGTTGTGGATAATGTCCACTCTCCATGTTCTTACTTTTGGAGGAGATGCTACTGAAAAACATTGGCAATTTTATCATAAAGAACCTAATGACTGCCATTTGTTTAAATTTATTTAAACACGCAAGACACATCGTTCAGAAGTACATTCCCACTACACAATTTTTGTTATTATAAGTCAACATATTGCAGAAATTTAAAATTATTCAAATATTTAAAGGTCATACTTGAAATGAAATATTCCTATGTTAACAGCTCAAGATGGTATAGATCAGGGGTCTACAACCTTGACAACTTTAAGACTTGTGGACTTCAGCTCCCAGAATTCCTCAGCTATGCTGGCTGAGGAATTACCAATCCATACGTGTATTATAGGTATGTGTTTGTAATGCATGAAATACTATACCTGTAATGCTTGGAAATACTGTTTGAGGTAGTTTCTTTTGTACTGGCAGCACCTGTGGATTCCACATCTGAGGTATTGGATGAGTGTGCAGTTCCATCAGATCTTCTGAATGACGCCATGGTGTCATACAATAAAAATTGACATAGATATTACAATTTCATGTAACCTAACATTAATCAAATAGACAAATTATTAAATTTTGGCAAAACTATATTTAGTCAGTCAGAAATGGCATATTTTTCTTTCTATTTTTGAGATAAATACAGGTTAAAATCTCATTGCCAGAACCTCAAAATGGAAAGCAAGGTCTTAAATTGAAATTATCTCCTTCCTCATTAGGCATGGGGAAGGATATCACGATCCAATCTTTTATTTAAGGCCAGTTTTTAAAAAGTTAAAATTGTATGCAGGTAATCCTCATTTAGCAACTACAACTGAAACCAGCAAAATGGTCATTAAGCAAAGCAGCCTCTGAGTGAAACCACAACTGTGCTTACAATCTTACTTCAGCTTTCCTTTGCTTTACAAACCTGCAAAGGTCATAAATGTGAGTCCTGATTGTACAGTTATTTTTTCCATCACCATCATAACTGCGAATAGTCATTAAACAAGGCAGCTACTAAAGGACTGTCTGCAGAACTAAAATACAGTACTGACTGAACAGATCATATGCATCTGTTTCTGCTCCAAAGTACAAAACTCCATGTTTATTTACAGAATGAGAGCTTATATTTTTTTTTTACAAAAGGGCATTAATTTTTTTCCTGCTTTCTGTATACTGATCGTCTCCTTTCCCTTTTTTATTTTGTTGTCTCTTTCATCACATTACTCTCCAAATTCTCTTAGTCTTCACTTTCACTTGGTTATAAGAAAAAACATTATTTATCATAGTGGAATGCAAACACCTTACATTTCATCACATATGCAGAGTATGGTATGTATGTATGTGTGTGTGTATATATGTATGTATCTGTATCAAACCCACAGAGAGAGAAATATTTACTTTAATTGACCAGAAAGCTGAATGAATATTTCCCATACATACCCAGTAGTGCTAGGAGAATCCAAAACAGGGGATTCTGGCACTATAACAGGTTCTTTTTCCTAAAGGAATAAGATAGATTTTTTTTCAGATTCTGATACTCAACTCTCTTAACTGTAAACATTAAAAAGATAGTTTAACACATTCATTTTTATTAAATAAGGAAATAATAAAATAATACTTATTTTATTAAAGAAGGAAACCTGAATACCACTTACCAAAATAGATGGCTCAGACATTCTTTGAATCATTTTTCTAGTATATGGGCCAGGGGGACGACCTACAGATTTTTTCTTCCCCTTTCTTTCTACACCATTAGTAACTTCCCTAGAAAAGAGTTTTAGTTTTAAATAGTAATATTGGTCTGTATTTATTTACAATTTGATTTCTGAAATTCCCTTTATCAGTTGTATTAGATATGCTTTATCTTTTGAATGTTGACAAAAAGTAGATCTCTAAGAAGTGAAATATAGAAACATGCTATCAATTAAACTAGCCCCACTAGAACCAGCAAAGAAAACCACTATCAATTTTTATTTCTCCACTATAACCACAAAACTTTCCAATCTGTCATCACTGAAGAAAAACAATCAGAATTGTACCAATTGCCAACTGCAAAGAGGTGATCTCCCATACCACTAATCCCCCAAAATTGTACCAATCAGGTCTTAAAGACTTTCCTAAAATGCCTAAAGTATTGATCTGACTGGCTGCGGTGCTATTCCAAAGGAGAGGGAACAAAGTAATAAAAAGGGCATGTATTCTTTCGAAGACAAAGGGGGGCTCTTCTTACTAGATCTTATTGAACAGCCATGTTGTGAGAAAGAAGTCCCGAAAATTATTTAACTTTTAAGCAAAGTAATGTTTTAAAAGAAACTACCAGTTGGCTTCTTGAACTGCACTAGAAGTCAACTGGCAAAGCGTACCGTTCATGCAGTACTAATATTACTTGGTCAAAAGACACTTTAAAAGTCATTGTATTCTGGACCATGTTTAATTTCTGAGTGGTCTTCAAGGACAGCCCCAAGTAAATTACGTAGTACTAATCCAACTGAGAGGTGACCAACGTGTATGTTCCAGGAATGGTCATAACAACTGTTGCACAAAATGGAAAGGTACAAAGACTGAGCGGAAACTGGGAGTCTGAAATAACCTCCAGATTATGAACTAGTTCAACTCAGGGGATCACAATCCTCCTCAGAATGAAAGATGAAATACCATTGGTCTCAGAAGTTTTGCACGCTCACATCCACTCTATTTGCTGGGACTGACCCCCGAGTCTTTCTCCATCAAGATGGTCACAGCTTCTAGGCACTGAGACAGCACCTTAACTACCTTCTCCTGTTAAGCCCTAGGTCAAGCTATACAGCTAGGTCCTGTACATACTGGTGATACTTAACCGGATACTGGCAAATAAACCTTTTTCAACAGCTTCCTGTTAAATAGGAGAAGAAAGAGAAGAGAGCCATATGGCAGCACAGAAAAAGAGTTTGAAGTCAACCTTCTCCCATCAGCCAGAACCATCCCCAGAAGAAGGAGGAGAATCAATACAACACAGTAACCTTGACTGTGACTCTCCAGAGATGTTTAAGACAGATACTGCAATCAATGATGATCAAAGATTGGTAAGAAATTAAGTAGAACCAGCAGGGTTTACAACAATCCTTTCCGTACAGGTAATCTAAAAGTGCTATCAGTGCAGCGTCAATATATTATTCGGGTACCATCACCCAAACAAAGTAACACAGAAATGCTGAAAAAGATGCTGTTCATAGGCAACCTTCTTGTGCTGCGCACGTATTTGTAAGAATCAATTGTGCAGATTATTTTTAAAAATGGATTAGATTATCACAACTGCTTGAAATTTAAGAATAATTCATTAGACCACATTCCTTCCTACTAGAAAGTACAACACTTCCATTCACCCTCCCTGGGATGTGCTTGTCTACCGAAGTAATATGGGGTATTGATGTTTCTCTACCATATGTGTCCTAGCTCAAGATATCAACAAGAAGTTTATCTTCTAGGACTCTGATCTTATAGAAGATAGCCAGCTATGCAGCATACTCCTTCCATTTGCTGATGGCAGTCAAAGCTTTAATCTGAGCTTAGCAAGCCATTTTGCTCAAAACACAAAAGACAAATAACAACATAAAACAACGCATTTAACTCTTGACCAATTCTATATCAACAAGATCACGCATAGCTTGTACTTGGCAAATCTTAACTTGATCTGGGTAAATATATCGGTATGCTTTGTACTACTGCTGAGTAGTACCTACTTGGATTGAGTATTTTATGGTAATGTATGTAAGGACCAAAGCAGAAATAGCTGTTATAATTACATCTTGTATTTATTTATTTCCCACCTTTATTACTTTTTTTTTTATAACTCTAGGTGGCAGACATACATAATACTGCTTTGTGCTATTTTCTCCACAATAACAAACCCTGTGAGGTAGGTCAGTTAGGCTGAGAGAGAGCGACTGGCCCAAAGTCACCCAGCCAACTTTCATGGCTAAGGCAGGACTAGTTCTCATGGTTTCTAGCTGGTGCCTTAACCACTAGAACAGCGGTTCTCAACCCGTGGGTCGCGACCCCATTTGGGGTCAATCGACCATTTCACGGGGGTCGCCAAGCAAGGCTGTCCGCCATTTTTTCCCCCTTTTCTGGCAGGTGCCTTACCTCCCTTGGGCTGGGCCAGCTGGTGGTCGGCCTGCTCCGTCTCTGCCGCTTGCCAGCTACGCCTCGGCCGGCGCAGGGGGCGGAACCACGCATGCGTGGCACTCCCGGGCAGGGAAAGTCCTCGACTTACGACTGGTTTAGTCCTCGACTTACGACTGGTTTAGTCCTCGACTTACGACCGGTTTAGTCCTTGACTTACGACTGGTTGGGGGGTCGCGGCATTAAAAAGGTTGAGAACCACTGCACTAGAACAAACTGTTTCCTTATGCTATTCTAACTGCACAAACTCAACCTTGCCTAACATGGGCAACCCTTGACTCGCAAATGCTTATTTCCAGTTAGTCTTTGTGGGGAATCTACAGACAGCTCTTCCAGCTTCTGTCTGACATTTTATTCAGTTCTAGGTCTATTTACCTCTGATCAGGCATAGGCTTGGATGATTTTCTCCCTTTAATTTTGAACTCATGAGAGGTTCCCTCAGGTTCTTTCTCAGCCTTAAAAGCAGCATTTGGTGGGCAAGGAGGAACACGAATTCTTAAGCCGAACAAATGTTTTTTCTTCTTTATTTCCTTCCCAGACATAAACCTGCATTTCAAGATATTAAATGCAGAACATGAAGACAAAACACATTTCTTCGGATATAAAGAGAAAGCACAGATCCATTTATTAACAAATGTATGGCACTCCTCAAAGCCTGCTCAAATGCCAATGTTGGGAAAAACAGGGGCTGCCACAAAGAAGAGGGAGTCAAGCTATTCTCCAAAGCGCCTGAAGGCAGGACAAGAAGCAATGGGTGGAAACTAATCAAGGAGAGAAGCAACCTAGAACTAAGGAGAAACTTCCTGACAGTGAGAACAATTAACCAATGGAACAACCTGCCTCCAGAAGCAGTGAATGCTCCAACACTGGAAGTTTTTAAGAAGAGACTGGACAGCCATTTGTCTGAAATGGTATAGGGTTTCCTGCCTGAGCAGGGGGTTGGATTAGATGACCTCCAAGGTCCCTTCCAACTTTATTATTATTATTATAAGTAAACCTTCATTTAACGTCTACCTCAGAAATAAACACCTGACTTAAACATTTAAACATGCAATAATACATTTTATTGCAGCTACACGTATTTTTAAATAACACTTCAAAAAACTTTAAAGACTATTATCTGATTAAACTAATGGAAATGAAAGAGAAAATTGTATAAAACCCTTATCAACTTACATGGTCTTGTAATCATTTAATGCCTCCAGAACATGTTCATATCTTTCAGATTTTGGTGTGTCTGCCAGCTGTAAAGTATCAAGAAGTAATTTAATCTACTGAAACATGCAGTAACACCCTTAAGCACTAATATTTAATAGTACAAAGAGATATAAAATATAAATTACAGCAGCGTTCTAGAATTTCTTATGTAACAGATAGGGCAAAATACCTACTGTAGCATATTAACAATAAGAGGCGAAACAGAAGTTTAGTTGTCCTCATTATTCTACGGACAAGATATTGAATAAATTGTTCTTTATCTATTTGAACTGCTAAATATCTCTTGTGTCTATGGGTATAGTTTTAATACTAATATATATATATATATATATACTTATTCCTTTGTTAAAATGTTAGCAATCTGCATTCTGTGTCCGATAAAATAAATATTTTAATAGAAGAATTTGTTGAGGAAATGACCCCTGGATGCTGCAAATAGCTGCAAATGCAGGCTGGTTTCCAAGCGCCCAAAATGTGATCACATGATTGGGGGTGTAGCCATTGGAACTTCAAAATGGCATCGTAACATTGTTCTGGGGAGATCCATCGTTAACTTTGAAGTAACAGATTACAAGTCAAGGATTACATGTATAAACGTTTTTATTGAAAAAAATACCTATTTAAAAAAGTTAAAGTTGCTTTGAAATTCAAACTTCTATCAGTCACAAGAGCACACTTTATGCATTACCATATAAGGTAGACAAAGTACGTGGATTATGTGTAACTGTAGGAGGAGTGGCAGAACCTGAGGGCACAGTTAAAAGAGGGATCAGCCTAGAATCCCTATGTGGCCGCAAGCAAATGAAGTCTAACCTCCCTTGAATTCTGTTGATCTTTATTAATGCCAAACAGGTATTAACCATTAGTTGAGAACAGTCCTCACCGGCACAAGTAGTAATAAATGTTTAATTGGATCTTCATGTGTGGACCTGATCTTTTGCATCTGACTTTAACTTTCAAATCCTAAGATTTTTTTAATACACTCAAAACAAATAATCTCAAAAACAATAATTCACAAGCAAGTCAGCATTAACCAGGAAAACAAACTTTACTTCTAGTACAACTGTACTATACGTTAAACAGTTATTAAAGTATTTCTATGCACTTGAATAGTTTGATCTTTTGAACTATAGAAACACATAAAGGATGTAAATGTTTCAAAAACTTACTTCACCAGGGTGGAGTCGATCCCAATTTTCATTAATGTATGTCATGAGTTCAAGTTCTGAATCAAAATATTTCTTTTTATGAATAACACTTAGGTTGTAAAGGCATAGATGTGCTATATCTACCCTAGAATTCAGAAGTTTAAATAATAATTAATAAGTTTTAACATTTTACATATGAGAACATTAACTGTCTAGATGATAGCGTCTAGAACAGGGGTCTTCAAACTTGGCCCTTTTATGACTTGTGGACTTCAACTCCCAGAATTCCTCAGCCAGGCACGCTGGCTGAGGAATTCTGGGAGTTGAAGTCCACAAGTCATAAAAGGGCCAAGTTTGAAGACCCCTGGTCTAGGACAACTGCCCTCCACTGACTCGCTGCAGCCGACTCATCCTGGCCGCCTCACTTATGGCAGACTTGCCACAGGACAATTCAACATGGGATACCTCAAGAGAGGGACAAGTGAATTGCAGTGGGCCTTGCCTTGCTTTAGGTTTGAACCTTCTCAAGTTAGAAGTCCTTGAGGCTGGGGTGAGCTGCAATTCTACTTGTTCCTCTCTTAAGTTATCCTGCAGCAGGTTGTCCCGTGGTGAGTCAGTCACGGGAACGAGTCGGCTGCTGTGAGACGGCTGCAACAAGTTCTCCCATTCTGTAGATGACAGGCACAACTATTGCCTGCCAACAATCAGCATGTCTATTTTGCTAAAAATCCTGCTTCCTGAATATTTTGTTTTTCACTTTCTCAACTGAAACTGCAAAGGAAGAGGATACTGTTTCCCCGAAAATAAGACCTGGTCTTTTATTTCTTTTTGCCTCCAAAATAGGCACCAGGTCTTATTTTCGGGGGACATCTTACCCACTTACCTTAGGAACACTGCAGCCAGGCCTCCCACACCCCGACACCTGTTGCGCCGCTGCTGGAGTTCTTCTGGGGCTGCTTGCGGCCACATGCCATGTGGTGCACTGCACTACCGCCGCCACTCACACGTCGCGTGGCTCATTGCGCCAGTTGCACTGCTGCAGCTGCTTTCAGCACCATCCTTCTGCGAGTGGTGGTAGTGGCGCAAGGAGCCACGCGTCTTGCTGCAAGTGGCAGCAGCGGCACGATGAGCCATGCAGCCTCCTACTCCGAGCAGTAGCAACGGTGCAAAGTGCCATGTAGAGTGTGGCCGCAGAACTCGGGCAGCAGTGCAACAGGCGGTCCTAATGTAAGCGAGTGCAAGGCATGTGGGGCTGCTCCACCCCCCCCCACCCTTGCTTGATTTTTACGTGTGCGCCTTGCCCCCAAACTAGGGTTTATTTTGGGGGTAGGATTTATATTAGGCACAGACATAAATTTCAAGCTAGGGCGTATTTTCGGGATAGGTCTAGTTTTCGGAGAAACACGGTGACATAAAAGTAATATATCCACATTTTTAATTACTTGTCCAATGTCCATTCAAATAACGAAAAGCACAAAACTATCTTTACAGAGAGGGTGAATATTTCTGCCCGAGATTGATTTAGGTTGTACTTACCACTGCAAGGGTAAACGTTTGAGGTATTCTGGTCCAGAACTACAAACTGAACAAATGAATGTATAAAACCTTCAAAAAAAAAAAAAAAGTTCAAAAGGCATATTAAGTGCACGAACATATATGCTTTTAAATTGTACTGACAGCAATTCATTTTACAAGGTATTCAGGGTTACAAAAAACAAAATTGTTTTCAGTTAAAACGTATCAATAAGTGTTGAATAAAAGATCACTATTTCAAACAAATAGTGAAAAACCTGGGTCCATGTTCTTATCAGTTTTTTAAAAAAATGTTTTTACCCCTTGATAAAACTTGACTCAGGGAAGACCATAAATAGAAGGAACAATGCACTAAAATAGTAGCATATTTATTTATTAATACATCAATGTAAATATCACAGTTACAGCCATGGAGAACCTATGTTTGAACACAGTACTGAGTACTGCCCTTCCCAAAGGGGATACCTAAACACACAACAGAAGATCAAAGGTAAAACATCTTACCTGTCGCCATACAGCATTGGCTTTTGCAGGCACTGCACACAAGCCTCATGGAACCATTGCTTACATTTGCAGCACTGCAGCATCTTCAAATACCAGCTTCATTAACGGTAAGAAAAAACAAAGATCGTCATGCAGTAAATACCCAATCTAGCAGAAAAGCATTGCATGCGGTTACATGACTATGAATGAATTTTAGAACTCATAAAATCATTCTATACACGTAACAGATTATGTCATATAAAAATAAAAATTCCCAGACTACAGGCAAGAAAGTTGTCGGGTGGGCAGTTTTCTGACCCATGAACTTAAGAGCAAAACAGAGTGTCATCCTATTTCAAGTTAGGCTCAGTTAGCATTTCTTAAATTGGCTGCTTTAAAAAAAATAAGTAAAACGAAAGCTACACTACTAGTAGTTATATGAGAGTTGCTCCTGAAGATTTAACTGGTCACTATGCATTCATTGACACTTCTGCATTTTGCAGACTTCATGTTTATTAAATATAACACAAAGGCAGAGTTTATACAAGCTAAACCAAAATCAAACACTGATATGCTTTAGCACAATGTCTTAAACCAATGATGGCGAATCTTTTAGAGACTGAGTGCCCAAACTGCAACCCCAAACCCACTTATGCATCGTCGAGTGCCGGGTGGGTATGGCCCATTGGCTGGGTGTGGCCAATTGGTTGGGCGTGGCCCATTGGGTGGGCGTGGCCCATTGGGTGGGCATGGCTGCAGTGGTAATGGCAGACTGGGTGGGACTAAAAAGTTCAATCAATCAATTCCAACTTTGCAAGATCTTTTTTTTCCCCGCGAGAAGTTGACTGATTGATTGAACCTTTTTTTTTTTTTGCACACGGCGGCGGAGGCCTAAAGCGAAAAGGTTTTATAAAACCCATCTGAAGGCCTAGGACTGGGGCAACGGCATGCGTGCCCACAGAGAGGGCTCTGAGTGCTGCCTCTGGCACCCGTGCCATAGGTTCGCCACCACTGTCTTAAACCAATCAACTAGCAAATTTATTCACTGAAACTTGGTCCAAGACTACAGTTTAACTAATTCTTTTTCATACAAACGTCAAAACCTCAGGAATAGAAAGTATTCCGAGAGCCTGATGCTATGTTAGAATATGCTCAATAAAGCTGTTTTACGGCATACTTATGAAACATAACACTTGGTCTCACACATACTCTCGACAAATAGAGAACATAGAAAAAACCCAAACATATATTTTCATAAGCGTGGGTCAACTGCTTACTCTCCAGGACCTCCACAGTAGCAATAACACTGTTGGGCATTTGTTTTATGGCCTGCATCCCATTCAAGGTCAGCTACATTGTAAGGCAATGTTTGCTTCATGACTTGCAGTGCTTTAGCATTTGGTCCTTTCTTAAGCGCACCACCTCTCTAAAATAAAATGCATTAAACCAGAAAAAGTTAGTATCCGACACCGTATAAAAAAAAAATCTATTTTCAACTGCAATTGCTTTTTTAAGTAATCAACTTACTTTCGTTGTTGTTGCAAAGACACACTGCCGGCAGAGCCACTTATCATCTGAATCTATCACATTAGAACCGATATTTGGTGTATGACACAGCTGATGATAACCTGAATTTTTTTTTAAAAAAAAAATAAATACTCTTTAAGAGGATATAAAGAGATTTACATCTTCCTGTCACACATTAAAACCCATAACCAAACACTTTCAATTAAATGTCATATGATGCTAGAAAACACAGTATGAGACTTTGAGAATAGCATAACTGTAATAAACCTCAATAGAAATGCCTACCCACTTAAGTTTACAAGTAATCCTTGACTTATGGCCAATCGCTTAGCAACCATATGAAATTAGGCAGATCTCCCCAGAGCTACCTACAATCCAGTTTCAAAGTTCCAATGGCCACCCACCATGGTCATGTGATTTCATTTGGCACACCTGGCAACTGATCCACATTTGTGGCTGTTTGCAGCACCCTGTGGTCACATGACGAGTTGACATTTTGTGAGAAAACCGTGTTTACTTCTAGATTGTGGCAAAAAAAAAAAAAGAAGCCCATTGGGCACAATGGGTTTGCTGAACAACTGCTGCATTTGCTTAACTGCTGTAAAGAAGGTTGCGAAATTGGGCAAAGTCAAGTACTGGTAACCTGCTTAACAACTGCCACAACTTACGACTGTTAATTAGAATAGAATGAAATATCTTTATTTTCACTGTGTAACTCACAACGAAATTAAGTGCTATCCACAGNAACCTATGGGTCGCGACCCCATTTGGGGTCGATCGACCATTTCACGGGGGTCGCCAAGCAAGGCTGTCCGCCATTTTTTTCCCCTTTTCCGGCGGGTGCCTTACCTCCCTTGAGCTGGGCCAGCTGGTGGTCGGCCTGCTCCGTCTCTGCCGCTTGCCAGCTACGCCTCAGCCGGCGCAGGGGGCGGAACCACGCATGCGTGGCGCTCCCGGGCAGGGAAAGTCGACTTACGACCGGTTGGGTAGTCCTCGACTTACGACCGGTTTAGTCCTCGACTTACGACCGGTTGGGGGTCGCGGCGTTAAAAAGGTTGAGAACCACTGGCCTACACGCTTGGTTTTTTTTTTAAATTACCTTGACCACACTTATCACATATAACCATTTCATTGGGTGCTTCTGAATATTCCTCCTGACATATTGTACAGACCATTTCCCCCGTTTCGGTAGCTCCTAAAAGAACAAAAAGGTGTGGCTTCATATTAAATGAATATATTTTACATTTTGAACATTAATGGCTACATATGAAAACTACTGGATTAATTACAAGTCCCGAGATAATATGATTTGGGTTTTGTTTTGCATAATATGTGAACTCAGCCATTCTGGGTCTGTGAACCATGACTTAGAACAATGTGTGAATTCAGCTGGGGTTTGACTGGTGTATTTGAGATCAAGAGTTATTTAAAAAAAGAGACCTATAGAGTCTATAAAGCGAACAACTCATCTGTCTTTGAGCTGTTTAGGAGCCACACAGATTCTGCATTCAGTCTGTTGCTTCCGTTATAATTTTCATCTCTACTCAGAGCAATTACATTTCTGGCTCCCCTTCCTCTTTAGCAAATCACCACTGTAGGTAAGTGACAGTTGAAGAATGATTAACCCTTTCCTCATGCCTGCTGTACACAGAATCTCAACTGGAAGGAGTTTGGAAATAGTACAGTAAATCCATGTTTTACATCAATTACCAAAAGATTAAATTATCACCATCATGATATAAGGTTCTTGCCTGTTTGTATGTCCTTCCAGAGAACCCAGGACTTGGAACTGTCTTCAAATATAACGAAGCAGCTCTGCTTAAGTTTGTTTATCTGAAATAAAATAAATTTGCAGCCATAATACCAATTTGTAGTTTTGCCATAAGATGTTGGGAGCTAGAAGGTTTATTAAAAATGGGTTACCTTTTTGATAGTTCCAAGATAAAACAAGCCATCTGACCATCTAGCTAGGACATCTTGACCTTCTTCAAATTTGCACACTGGCTTTTTGGATTTTTGTCCATCCCGTGAGGAGAGTTTGGTCAAGGATATTGGTGGTTTTTGGTTTCGGTGCAAAGGTGACCGCTTATGGACCACTGAATTACCCACCCCCGTAGAGTCTCTAAAATACAGACATATATAATGAACACAAGCAACTTCCAAAACATTAAAAGCTAATGTTCAAACCAGAACAAATTTAACCGAGAGTGAGACTTATATTTAACTTCCAGACATATCTGAGACAAGAAGATGAAGCCAGTATGTAATTTTTTTAATTGCAAATTTATTGTAATTCAATATACATAGAAGAAATATGCCACAGTTCTACAAACTAACAATTAAATCTATGACTTGCTTATTTCTACATTGTTCATCTAATCTGCTAAAGATGTGCTTACATCTTGGTTTTCTCAGATAGTCTCAGTACACTTCAAAATGTATTAAAACCTGCACATGGCAATCTTATTGCATTAAAAGAAAAAGCACTTTTGGCTATTATCTAAAACCTGTCTATGTAACATACATTATGTAAAATCATTTAGCAGCAACTGGCTACTAGTAAGTACTTTTCATATTTTTACATGCAACACAGTATTCAACCCACAATCATTCCTATCACTATGCAAACAAAGTGTTCACTTGGTTCATTGAGCCCTTGTACAAACCCTGAAGCAATACATCATAACTAAGGCATTTGCAAAGATATGAAGAGAAATAAACATAGCCCTGATTCTTTTTAATTTTGCTGTGGATGAAGGGTCAGAAAGCCAAGAATTCAAACAAAAGTGTTATTGCCAAGTTCAGTGTTCTATATTCTTTTTCCAACATGAGGAAGAAACACAGGAAATATACTCCATAAGCTTACTTTAAAATTCCACAGAACAATTCATATACAATTAGATAAAAAATAAAAACAGGCTATTAAACTGAAATAATTAAAAGCTTGTATATCTTTAGAGATATTATCAGGGATAGACCATGTTGGCACAAAATGCTCAATCTTGATTGAGTTAATCTAATTGCCTGGATTTGTACAGAACACTGAACTATGTTATAACTATAATTTGGGGGAGGGGGTGTTGCACAACAGACTAAGTTAATTTTTTGAATTTGTTTCCCCCAAGAACACATTCAATATAACGGAAGTCTGAAGCTGTACACTCATCTTAATGAGCAAGCAAACACAGAGAGAGGATGACAAATAGAATAAACACTCAGGTGACAACTAGCCAAGGCTAAACAGGAGCAGAAGCAATATCTTTATTAAGTGGGGTAGTTAGCAATGACAGAATTATACCTGGCTGCCATACATTATTTCATTCACTTTTAACATATCACCAGTATGTCTCAATTATTTAGTTAGATTTCTCTTTCCATCTATTCCATTTCCTCATAAGCTCAGTCCCAATTAAACAATTGATTAAAATTCTGGTTAAGCTTATTGTAATTTATTTACTTACATTTGCGGAATTCCAGTTCTTTCTATCCACATTTCTTGAGTGGAATTACAAGACCTATTTTGACTGCCTAGAAATAGTTGTGACTGTAAGAACTCCAATTTCCTAATATGAAAAATGATGTCACTTGGCTAACACTCCACAAATACTGAAAGGAGCAAGAGCGAAGATAACAAGCTCTTTTAACAGCAACAACAATCCTGTTAAAAGGCATGCCAGCTTTGCCAGGAAACAAGAAAAATAGGAAATGGAATAATAAGCACCACACACACATACAAACACACACATCCTGCAAGTAAATCATGCTCTTTCCTAAACATTTTTAATCTAAGAATAATCAAATATTATACTCTTTTATCACAGAGTAATTGCTCTGAGGAGAGGGTGTGTCTTTTTTGCATCTTTTATAAAGCTTTATAATATTACTTTGGAAATGTGACCATCACAGAATTAGGTAGAAGTAGGATGATTCAAGCTAGGGATCCTAATACATCATCGTAGTTGTTAATGTTGACATTAACAGTATACTACTATTCAAATACCAGGATAGTGTATAAGCAAGCTGAAAACACTCATTGCATTAGAGAAATGCAGTTTTGGGAGGATCAAAAGCCACAGAAGATTTTTGTGTGTGTGAAGTGCTGAGGACCATACTACAAAGCACAGGTGACCAGGATGAAAGCAAAATATTCAATTTAACATTTTAAAAATATAGTTAACATGGTTATTCCCCATGTAGTTAAAAATTCTAATTTATTTAGGAACACTTCAAAAGCATGCTAGGGACTGTACTGAAAGCCTCAGGGCCTGCAGGTGGCCTCAGGTTGTTTACCCCCCACTGTACAAGATCAAAGCTGCCTTTTCATTTATCCATACTACCAACCCTTTTTTTCCTGACTCCTAGACCCTCTTCCCATAATACATTTAACCAGATCAGTTACAAAGGCAGCAGTTGTCTTTGTACAATGTGCTAAGCTTGATTCGTTTTAATTTTGGTCAATTTTTTTTTAACATGGTTCAAAAATGATGCGCTATCCCACTTTATGGATCACAGTCCAATATATTGTGTATATTGTGTACATAAAAAGTAAGTTAGTTCATTAATTACGTTAAACGAACTGTGAAAACACATTCAGACATATATAGCAGTTGCAAAACACAAAAGCAGGAAGGGGGGTGGGGGAGAAAAGAGAAGCCATCTGAAGGGGAAAAAATATACAAAAGGCTGTCTCAGAGAACAGGGCTGCCCAAATCTTTAACCCTAGGTCCTATTTATTATCAGGTACAAGTAAATTAATAAGGTAATTAATTATCAGTTAAGTAAATAATAAATAAAGTAAGGAGAACTCGTATACTGGCATTAGTACGGCAACAAATTATTTACAAACCCCTTCTTTTGGAACGACCTCTTTTTATCGGCCCTGGAAACAAAAACGAAAAAAAGAGATTTCGAGTCCCATTTGCAGACCGAAATTATGGCAATGCAGAACTTCCTCAATTTCCCGAAAACGCTAGCGCAGGGGTAGGCAACCTTGGCTCTTTGATGACTCGTGGACTTCAACTCCCAGAATTCCTGAGCCAGCATAGCTGGCTCAGGAATTCTGGGAGTTGAAGTCCACGAGTCATCAAAGAGCCAAGGTTGCCTACCCCTGCGCTAGCGAAAAGATTTTCGCCTTTGTTTGGCTTGCCTAGGACACCCAGACGCACCCCCTAAGTATATATATTTATATATAGCCATATATATATATATTTATATATAGCCAACCCCAGCTACGGGTCATGTTGCAGCGCAAGAGATGCCCCCCCCACACACCCCACATCTCCCTCCCTGTGCAAAACTAGGACCAGCGGGGCGAAACGTCCCAGGGAGGCTTGCGCTCTCTTGGCCCCCTTCCCGCAACATAAACGGACCAGGAGAGCGGAAATGTTGCAATGTTTTCTTTCCCTTTCAAAATCGATAGATGGCTGGCTGGGGGGGTGGTGGGGGGGGAGAGAGAAGAGAGATCCCCCCAAAGCCGGGAAACGGGAGATAAGCGAGAGCCGGTTTCCCTTCCTCTTGCACCCCCCCCCGGACCCTGCGATCCGCAGATCGCCGATCCGAGATCGGCGATCCCTTGAATCCTTCCTCGCTCACCTCATTCGGTCTCTCCAGTCGGGCCACTCGCTTCATGCAGGGAAATCAATGGCGCTCGATGCGCTCTGCCCCGAGAAGCCGCCTTTCGGCCGGGCTTCTGGCCGCCCTCCGAAGGGCAAAAACCCGCGCGGGGGAAGGGGAGGAGGGAGGCGGACAAGGGGGGCTCAAGCCCGAGGCAGCCTCACGGGCAGCCCGGCTCCACAACAACCCTTCGCCATTTTGCTTTCCCGCGGAGGAGAAGCTGGTGCATTGTGGGAAACACAAAGGAGCCGCTTCGGCGACGGCGGCGGCGGCGGCAGCCCCTCCTCCTCCTCCTCCCTCTCCGAACGGTTCAATCCCTGCGGCCGGTCGGGCCGCGTCGAATCAGCGCTGCGTTCGTCTTCTCCCTCCGCGGCAGAGGGGCCGGGTGAAGAGGCAGCCCGCCCGCGGAAGGATATCGTCTCTGCCAGCAGCCGAATAGTCGGTGAACAAAGAGGGACTATTTTTCGAAGAGGAGCTAATCTCGCCTCTTTGCCTCGGGGCGTACCGGGCTGGGGGTGGGAAATAAAATTGAAAGCAAAAGGGGAATCTTTGAAATAATAATTTTAAAAAAAAAGCCAGCTCGGTTAGCGGCCTCTCCGTTTCAAGAGTGTAAAGTCATTTGAACAGTGTTTCCTTTTGCACGCCCTCTTGGCTGTCGATTGTAGGGTAGCGCTTTTTTTCTTCTTTGTTGTGTGTGTGTGTTTGTGTGTTCTGCTGGTCAAACGGTTGTACTACGCTAGTCACACTTCTAGAATTCCCGTACCTCCTGTGGGACCCAAAACAACAAAGACAAAAACCATTTGGGGTGGGGTGGGCAGGAAAAAAATATTTCACTCCTAGAAACATAATAAAGCAACAAAGTGGGGAGGGGGTTGTGTTGATTTCATGAAGAGAAATAATTCACGATTTGAGTAGCACCGATTAAGGCCAACCACAGGAACGTAAAAGCCCATAAAACTTTTGAAGTGACTCTAAGCAAAAGAGATCATGCAATAAATAAATACAAAATAAAAATGGACATCTGATGAGTTCTGGAGAACTCTACAGCACGCAGCTTTTTGGAAAGGCTTCATCAATTATTATCCAGCTGCGGATGTTTATATATAGAGGATTTCCAGGAATGTGTGCATACATTGCAGTGTTAATGTGTGGTAAGCCAGACTGGTAAACAAGGAACTTTATGGTTGTGTTCATCCGCAGCGATTCATACAGTTTTTACGGGGTACTGTGTTTACCTCGTAAATAAAAATAAAATAAAAATAAGTCATTCTTATAAATAAATAAATAAATAAACAGAAAATAAGTCATTCTCCTCAAAAGAAGATTAAGCAGAAGATAGGTAAAAATATACAGTGTCCTTGCTTTTTCTCCTTGTCAACCCAATCTGAAATTAATTCTAGGGGTTTGTCTTCTCAGCAAAAATGTGAGCGCTTTTTTGTTCTTGTGTGTGTGTGTATATACATGCAAAAAACCACACTCCACAAAAGGTTAGGCCAGGATAAAGCTGCATTTATGTTGAATTAATAATTACTAATTAAAATGATCCCACATCTGTGCATACCAGTTATTCAAGAATCACTCTGAATTGCCTCAGGATGGATATGGAATATTAAGCTATTCTGTGCTATGTGTAAAAACCACTCACATACAAATACACATTTTCAATTGGAAAATGAAAATAGGATGGAGGTAGAGCAAGGAGAACAGGTAGCTATTGTGAGAAAGGAAGGTAGAAGGAGAAGAGGTAAGAGAAGAGAAAAGAATAGAGTATAAAGCATCACAAAGGAGGTTAAAATTCAATAGGCCAACAATTCCTATGCTAATCTTCAAAGACATTGATGCTTTTCAAGCAGCAATATCTGCATTTTTATCTTGCCCCTTGTTTTGTTTGTTTTCAATAGATTCTTTCTTGTCAATGGAAGACAACCCTCTTCCCACCTTTCACAGGCATCTATCTGGTGATAAATATGGGGCACTATTATTATAGCTCTGATTGATTGGAAAAAGGAACAAGAAAAGTCAAATTTATGTAGTATGGTGATGAACAGGAGAATTCCAGAAACAGCATCAAATTTACAATGGAAAAACAATGCCAGTTCAATATCATTTTTTTTTGTTTTTTGTTTTGTCTGATCTGTTTATTCCTAGGCTAGTTCTCTGGCAAAGAAATGCAAAAATGTTTTTCAGGCTTCAAGGTCATCTGTTAGTATCTGTGTTTCTGGTTTTAAATTATTGCAATAGTGCTGAATAAAACTGATTTCCCTGCTGTAGGGCAGGGTATAATGGAGTGCAGAAAGCTGTTACAATGTTTTCTGGCTTGAGGTGTACTTTTAAATCTGAAATGGCTCTATTTTTGGTTTGTACAAACCAGATTTCGTAGCCACTGTGCAGGAATATGAAGGTTGATAGATGTTTGTGAACCTTTTTTTTTATTAATGTGTTACATGAACATAGACTATATGGAGGGATGTACTATAATATTTTACAAGCCATTGTGTAAATTAAATGGGAGTCTAAATACACATCTGATTTCAATTGCATCTTTCCTTATTCCATTGCTTTTACTGAAATGTGCATTTGGGTACATATCTAAATACACATTCTTAGTCCGTTCTAACATATATTTGGCTTTGAATACATATCCTGATTTTGCAAGTAATTAGACATAGATTTCTTTAGTTTGGATTGGCAAAGAAGTTGTGGAGGAATGATAATGAAAAGTTTCTCTTTGTCATGCTCTTGTTCCTCTGGTTATTTAAAAAAGAAAAATGAAGGATGCAAAATGTATATAATGCATTTTTAGATACTGTGCAGTAAAGCGTAAATTCATAATTTGCAAGGGTAACATTAAACCTGCTGTGTATAGTGAATGGGAGATGATTAGACCAAAACATAATTCTGCCATGGAGAAAGAAATAAGATGAATAATACAAAATACAAGGATCACAGTCAGCTGGCAGCTGAGAATAATTTAGCAGTATAAGCGGCAAATAAGATTAATATAACTTTTATGATACAGTAATACAACCATGGTTTGCAAATAATAAAAAATATTAATTCCACTTCATTTTGCAGAACTATATAGTAGTCAGATCTCAACTAAGATACTACATCCAGTTCCTGAAACTGCCTTTTTGGGAAGATGTAGAGAAATTGAAACTAGCCTATAGGAATACTAAAAACTATTAACAATATAGAAGAATCTTATAGGAATTGTCAACAACGCATTTTCAATCCTTTTCAAGCTTAGGAAAATTCTGAGGCTCTGGCTCTGTTTATGTCACACACTGAACAAACTAGATACCTGATTTGGAGTTAGGTGTGTTGAGTGAGCCCAAGTTATATAGTTCAATGTGTGAGCCATGGCTCATCTACATGTCTCCTCCCCCCATATACAATTCAAAGTTGCCTCACAAACCATTTTTCAAGCACATGTCTTAATGATACTGTCTTTAACTCATCCCCAGTCCATGGCAGAACCCCCAAATGTTCAGCTTAGTTGATGTAATGTAGAAGTGAAGTTTTCTATCTTCTCCCATTATAAACCTTGTTGTATATAATATTGAGCATTTTGGCAGCAATAGCAGTGATGAATCAACAACATCTGAACCGTCTCACACCAGCTTTTATGACACCACCATTTGTACTCAGAAATCCTAGTTCTCTAACTCTACAGCATACAGTACAAAATTCTAGGATCACTACTTAGGAATGGGAATGTCATCCTCTCTTGCAGTAGCAAGAGGATTAACAGCAAGACACCCCCTCCCCCCATCACTGTGATCAGCCGGAACATCTGTGGACATTGAATTTTATAATGATCAGTGCAGTTGTATGATTTTATAGGATTTTGCTCTATGGGAGAACTTTGTTCTTAAAGATGGTCTATAAATATTTTAAATCATAATGTCCTGGCATAAACCCAGATTTTGAAGAGAGTTAATTCTAAGAAGAACTGCTTAAAAATTGGGTTCACGTAGAGAAGCTTCATCGTCAGAGTTGAGATTTGTCAGCATCTTTGCACAGTTTGCAGAACCCAGAAGAGTCATCTGGATATATTTTGCCTGAAGATCATTATCATTCCACAGTAGAAGAAGTACATGTTGTAATTGTTCTGGTACTTCATCAGCATGAAAGATAAAGAGACCAAAACAAAAATCTATTAAACTGCTTTTGTACAGATAACAAAGCAGAATTGTACTGTCCAGATGCAAGGTCCACTGTTTTCATATGTGCCTGAGATGTTAATGACATACGTACATAGGGATGAGCTTATGACTTGACATTGCTTTCTTCAACCTCTACTGCCTCAATGGATGGCTTTGTAAGATTATGCTATCCCTTATATACTCCAAAGTTAATTCAAGGCACCTATGGATGCCATGATATGTTTGCTGTTCCCCAGTTAGATCTTTATAGAATCCCATGCCTTCATCTTTCTTGGGCGGTTGAGCTAATTTGTTTAAATATTTCTTGCAATATAACAGGAATTTCTCTGGATCCAATTTTCAAGTAGAAGCACTAGCGCTCTATAGTGCTTGAGCACAGGGTACTTTTTCATTGGAAATAACTCTTACTTCATCCCACTTCCCAGCTTCTATGCTTTCCAACACTCCCAACAGTGGTATTGTCACGCCACTATGAGTGCCTCAAAACTGATTTTCAATTGAAGAGATGAATAGCATCTTGGATGTTTGGCATCTTCCCCCTCATTGCAAAAGTTCATTATTGTTTTTCAAGTTACAAATACTTCACACAAGAATGTGTTTAAAGAAAGAAGTGGGACGTTGGTTGGGTGCGAATGTTGGCATTTTCCCATTGATGAAGTGTAGACTGCAATGAATGGTTGATGGCGTAAAATTGGCAGCAGAAAGTATGCCTGGTGGGTCAGTGTGAAACAGTTTTAGAAGGTGTGGAGAGTATGAAAGGAATAAATTATATTCCTAAAGAGTTGAAAAATATGCCTTTTATTTCTGACTGCTTTTGCCAAAAGCTTTAAATTTGCTTCAAGTGCTAAGCAGAGATTTCTCTTCAACATGCCTGCTTATACACTGGCCTATTGGCTTAGTTATGCATTCTCAATGGTTTTTTTTTCTTTCCAGAGATGGAAGCA